GTAGGGCAATTCTGTGGGATTTTTGAAGAGAAGATCATTGGGTAACAATTTCTTATCCCTTTCTAGTTGTACTCCATTAATCTGTTGTTAGTTTTATCATTTAATTTTGAATTTGGGGTGAGAAATTGGGTAAAATTTTGGAAAAGTTCTTAGGCCTAAGTTTCAAGTTTTGATTGGGGATTTGACATCGGATTTGGATAATTTCGGTATGCATGAACTCGTGAGAGAGTGAGGATTTTGAATTTGTAAATTTTACCCGATTTCGAGACATGGGCCCGATGGGCATTTTGGTCATTTTTTTTAATTTCGCGTATTAGCTTAGAATTAATTAGTTGAATTAGTTACTTGAAGTGTTATTTACATTACGCAATTGATTTGAATAGATTTGGGCCATTTATAGTCGATTACTCGTGGCAAGAACGTGGTTTCAGGTTGATTTTGAGCCGGTTCGAGGTAAGTGGCTTGCCTAACCTTGTGTGGGGGAAACTCCCCTTAGGATTTGGCATTGTTGATATTTGAAATGACTTTAACGTGAGGTCACGAGTGCGTACTTGTGCTAATTGTTGAAAATCCTATTTTCATTAAGTAACTCCAATTGTATTTCCTTTCCTGCCTATGCTATTTGCAACTTAAGCCTGCTGTTAGCTTAGGGAAGCATGTCTAATTGCCTTAATTGCTTTATTTGCTCAAATTGCCTTATTTGGATTATGTGTGGCATGCTAGGTTAGAAATACCTGTTTTTACCTTGGTATGAAATTTGAACTGAATCGAGTACTCTTCGTGTTGCTGCTGTGTGTTTACTTTGGGACTACGGGACGGTATCCTGGGAGATCCCTTGCTTGTTACTTTGGGACTACGGATCTGTATTCCGGGAGATCCCCTGCACCTATACTGATTTGGACTGTAGTGCGAGATACCGAGAGATCCCCAGCACATATATTGATGATACTAAGAAATACTTGGGATACCGAGAGATCCCCAGCACGTATATTGAGGATACTAAGAGATCCTTGGGATACCACGATATCCCCAGCATATATTTATTGAGAATACTAAGAGATCCTCGGGATACTGAGAGATCCCCGGGTACACATATTGAGGATACTAAGAGATCCTCGGGATACTGAGAGATCCCCGGTTGTTATCTCTGTGTTGAGCGTTATTCCTTTTGTAATTATTTTGTCTCTGTTATAGTTGTTGTTATTCTTATTATCCTGTGATACTTCTTACTGTTAGCTTTTAATTATTTTGTCATACTCTATACTGTTTTACCTCGTTATTCAGCCATAATCATTAGGGCTCTGACCTTCCTCGTTACTACCCGATCGAGGTTAGGCTTGACACTTACTGAGTACCGCTGTGGTGTACTCATGCCCTTCCTGCGCATGCTTTTCATGTGCAGATCCAGGTACTTCGACTCAGCCCTACTATTCTTGAGGCGGGGTGATCCATCAGAAACTCCGAGGTATGTCTGCCGCGTCCGCAGACCGAGGAGTTCCTTTCTATTCTCTCTCATAGCATTAGCCCTTCTGTATTTCTTTTTGTTTAGACACTTTGGAGTTAGAACACTGTAGTTATTCCACAGCTTGTGATTTCATGAGATTCCAGGTTTTGGGAAATGTAGTTTCAGTTTGAGAGTTGTATTGTATGTGCCGAGCGGCATCTTTAAACCTTCACTATGTTTATTCCGCTAGTTTGTTTGTTTTATTCTGTTGCTTGTTTTTTCGCAATTTGTTAGGCTTACCTAGTCGTAGAGACTAGGTGCCATCACGATAGTACACAAAGGGTGAACTGGGGTCGTGACATTATGATATTGAAGGATGACGATTTGGTGGGATTGGGTTGCGCGCCACAACGGATTGTATATGTTATGATTGTTTGTAACTATTAGATTTGCCTTAGTATTTTGAGATGACTTTATAAAATTTGTTATCGTGGGCTCTCTAGTTATTGAATTTCGAGTTCGGTTTTATGAGTTAATTGCTATACTTCCATTTCATGTCTTTCCTATTATTATTATTATTGCGTAAAAGTTATTGTAAGTGGCCCGCCTTAGCTTCGTCACTACTTCGTCGAGGTAAGATTCGACACTAACAGAGTACACAGGATCCGTTGTACTCATAATACACTTTTTACTTCTTGTGCAGATACTAGAGTGGGTCTCAGCGCTGAATGTGATTGCCCGGATCTAGCTATCAGTGGAGACTTGAGGTATAGTTGCACGGTGTCGGCAGCCCTGAAGTCCCCGTCTTTGTCATCCTAGCTGTTTACTTTGATTCAGACATTATGTTTTATTCAGACTATTATCTGTAGTACTCTACGCTCATGTATTCATAACACCAGTTTTTTTGGTTGTATTTGGATTACGTCGTTAATTAGATTATCACCTTATTTCAGACTATTCAGTTTTATTGTTGCCATTTGATTTGAATTATTAAAAATGATTAATAAATATAGCTAACGTTGTCTTACCTAGCAAGTGCAACATTTGGCGCCACCACGACCCCGATGGTGGAAATTCCCGATTGTGATATTTTCATTAGAAAGAAAAGCAAAAGTTAGTTTAAATTTTCTTCATGACATAAATATGTTTACCAAAAATTTATGTATATGCTAACTATCACTACTTAAATTAAATCATCTGAAAAATAAAATCCTCATATAAAATGACAAGTTCCATTACGTTAGTTTAGTTAGATTTGTGTTACTTGAAAATTTTAATTTTCACTCTGAAAATTTATTTTTCACACTTAGATCAATTAAAAGGCAGATTAGCCTCTTAAACACTTGTACTTGTTCCAGTTTGTCATTCCTGTCCTCCCACTTTACTTGTTTTCATCCAGAAACTTTAACTTGTTCAAAGTCTATATTTTAAACCCCTCTGACTATTTATGTATCTCACTTGCTTGAGGTGGATGACACATCATATTCCATATTAATTTTTTTTATTTTATCTACTAAAAACACTTATTATATACTATATCCTTAAAGCAAAAGAAAAAAAAAGAATTAATGCCTCCATCTCATCTCTCTTCCCTCAAATCCATAGATTTCTTCTTCCTTGTCCATCTCATATCCCTTCTCCGTTCTCATCTCCCTTCTCTATCTCACTATTCCGTTGATGAATAGTAATTTAGGTTGTTTTAATTAGGCAGATTAAGGCCACATTATTCTTAGCAATGACAATCAAGGCGTTGTCGGAGTCTGATATTGTCCGCTTGCGGCGTTGGATTTGGGCGTTTGGGGGGGGGGGAGGGGGGGGGAATAGAGGAATAGAGAGAAAGGAAGGGTTTATTTAGAGAGCTGTTGAAGTGAGTTGTAACTTGAAACAACCGCCATTAGCAACAGAGTTTCGTTACATCAACTAAATCTATTACGATACAATTTATTTTCATTTCATTGCAGTTCTTTTAAACTTTCTTTACATTGTGAGTTTAGACGAGTTAAAGAATTACAAAGGAACACTATCTCTCTCTAGTCATGGAACCTTAACCCTATGAATCTCAATCCACAATCCCTCCCAAACCGCCTGACATCAATCTCCATTCTCAAGATATCAATGAGGGGGAAGAAGTTAAACATTCTTATAGGGACATGGTCACAGCTACAAATAACTTGATCTTCACCCCAAGAAATAATCAATGCAACATTGATTTGTCTGAAACATTGCCAGAGGAAGGGATCCAAAGATCAAATTTACTACACTCCTCAACCCGAGGCTTTAAATGGATCAACCTAACGGAGGAAGACAAACTCAGAATTTATGAGCCTTGGCAATATTCAATCATTGTCAAACTCTATGGAAAACGTATGTTGCATCAGTTTTTAAAACGAAAAATCCATGACCTTTGGAGACACACGGACACCTTCTCTCTAATTGAATTAGGGGAAGATTTTTTTATCATTAAGTTCACAAAGAAGGAGAATATGGAAAAGGCTCTCCATCAAGGTCCATGGTTTGTTAATGGACATCATCTAAGTGTCATCAAATGAAAATCAAATTTTGTGGCCTCTAAGGAAAAATTAACTTCCTCAGCCATATGGGTAAGACTGCCACAATTACCAACGGAATTTTACGATGGAAAAATTTTACAAAAAATTGGGAACTCAATTAGACGTCTACTAAAAATAGATGTCTGTACATCAACTACAATTAGGGGTCGTTACGCTAGACTGTGTGTGGAAATACCACTAAATACCCCAGTGGAATCTTTTATCTTCATTGAAAACCATAAACAAGCCATCCAAAGGGAGAAAGTCTTCTATGCATCAAATGCGGAAGGTTGGGACACCCATACCCCCAGTGGACCTTTCAACCAAAGGCTTCACAACAAACTCAAGAAATACCCCTACAAGGCAATGTGAACCAGAGGCAAATCCACAAGGCGAATGGCAAACAGTATGTTTCAACAAAAATAAAAGTAAGAAACCAATGGGGAACACCAATCCGGTAAGCAATTCTACTTCAAAAGAAAAGGCCCAGAGTCCAGGTATTTCTGTAAAGCTTTTCAATGCCAATACGGGTAAGTATATTGATACTCAAATTCTTCAATATAAAACCAAGGATCCACAAAAAATCAATGACATTAACAAAAATTTGGAAAAAACCCTATTACGACCCAAAACCACTTCTCCATATTAGAAGGGGAGCACACGGTATTGAAAAATCCCAACCTAAAGAAAATAAAAAAGGCCCTAATATTTCTCATGCACTAAGCCACGTGGCTATACACAATTCCAACGTGGCAATGAAAGACTCTAACGTGCCAACCCAGTTCACTAATCAAAACATAGGCATGCAAAAAGATAAAACAAATGCTATTATTGATAGTAATGACTCTACTAAACCTATATGACACCCCCTTAACCACACCAATACTCAATCTTCTTCTCCCTTGTTTGCTGAACACACAAGCAACAATCCTTCCACAAGATTTGAAATCCCAAACCAACCTAGGTATGCTGTACACTTGGCTTCAAAAGAGCCAACGAACGGCCAAATGGCCAACCTCAATATCCAAGATTTGGATATCAAATCTAACCATATCCCTCCTTTAAATCTTGAAAGCATACCAACGGACTCCATGCAAGAAACCTACCAAATCATTACCCCTACTACCAATCCCATTACACATAGTGATAGACAAACCCCCACGGCGGTTGAAACCATCTCAAGTTACAATTCCTCTATATACAATGCCCAGAATCCCATCTTCCCTGCGAAGGAGAACAAGACTAATCCAAATAGTAAGGCAACTGACCAATCCCACAATGGAAAACCAACAACAAATCCCCCATCAACCAGTACAACCCCAAATAATCTATGTCCAACCTCCCCAAGCCCAGGATTACCAACCACTCTCATGGATGGAGATGGGGTTAATGGGTCATGCAGTGTCTTTCAACATCCAAGTGATTGGTCAGGAAACGATAGTGAACCTCCACAACACTCAATACCTTGCTCAACTAATCTCGGAGGGAATGGGTCTAGCAATGAGCAACTACCTAAACCAAATCTGGCTCAGCAACATCCTTCATCCCCTTGCTCCCTCAATAAATCCCAACCTAGTTCAAACAATGATCCAACAGTGAAACATGCCTCCACACTTCAACCCTCTCCAACCCCAAAACATTCTTCCAGATCTCCCATTTTTTCCCTCAGAGATGCTAACTCATCTCAACCCAATATTCATGCCATGGGACATCAACCCCCGACCTCAGGATCAACCTATCAACCAGGCAGTGCCACAGGAAGCCCCTCAGCCACCCCATGCAATGCAGGAACAGGGCCATGCAGAGGCAGATATGGAAGAAGATCTAGAGGAACCCCTCAACCTAGCCTTAGAGCGAGTCCTAGAATTCTCAAACTTAGACGGGGTAAAAGTGTTTCTATTCAGGGAGTTGCAGGAGAAGAGGCACGTTCTCAACTGTCCCCTAGTACTCTACAAGTGTTCGATGGATATAAGGCCACCTCAGGATCCTACGGTGGGGAACAGGGCCATGATTCTAGTACCTACACTAAGGAGGAACCCTATCTTTCTAGGGGGGTGAGGGATAATGGGGAGGCAGGGAACCAGCAACCAACTTATCCAATGAATCACCCAACTAACATTATTATATGGAATATAAGGGGAGGAAACAATGATAACTTCCGTAGAAATTTTAGAGAAATGTTAGACACTCATTGTCATTGCATGGTTGCTTTACTAGAGACTAGGTTGGTAAACCATGAGAATTGGCTAGATGAGTTTGGTTTCTCTCAACTCATTGAAGTTCCAGCTGAGGGGCAGTCAGGAGGAATGGTTGTCATGTGGAAGCATGGGGTTGTTTCTGCTCAAAATTTCACTCGTAGGAATCAAGAAATCCATGCTACCATTGAGGTATTACCCATTCGTAAACTTTGGCTCTTTTCCTCTATTTATGCCAGTACTAATTATCAATGTAGAAATATCCTTTGGGATAATATAGAAAACATTTCTATAAACTATAATGGGCCTTGGCTAATAGGAGGAGACTTCAACGACATAGTTAGCTCAAACGAGAAATTTGGGGGGAGACCTATAAATTCAACTAGGGTAGAATTCCTTGTTTCTAAACTAAATAGGTGCAACCTTCAGGATCTAGGATATAAAGGTTGTAAATACACATGGACAAACAATAGATATAGAAATAGAGGTTTGATTATGGAAAGACTTGACAAAGCCCTAGGGAATGAACTATGGTGTGATCTTTTCCCAAATCATTCTATAATTCATTTACCAAAGACTCACTCGGATCATACTCCTTTATTAGTGGAATTAATTCCAAAAAATAGAAGATATCATGCTCAGCCTTTTCGCTTTGAAACATTCTGGTGCAAGTGATAATAGGCTAGGTCTAGGTGATTTGGCGATTGTTTATGCTCCCGCTTGATTATGTTTCAATGTCATAATATGGTTAAATGATGAAAAATGGGATCTAATTGTGAATTTTACACATTACAGGATGGTGAGCCTATATGATGCCTTAAAGTTGTGATTGGAGCTACATTGGAGCAAGAAAGACCCCTCCGAGCTGAGTGCGCGCAAAGACTAGAAAAAGAATTAATGAAAAAATGACCTGAACTAGCGCGAGCTCTAGCGCGAGCTCTAGCGCGAGCAGTAGCGCGATCGCGCTAGTTCAGAAGCGGGAAGCAGAATGTCAGGAGACTAGCACGAGCATTAGCGCTAGTCCCAGTTCCGAAAAAGATTTGTTAGGGGCAAAATTGGAAATCTGGAGGTAATTTCACTTAACCTATATAAAGTCAAGCTCGCCCAAGGATTAGATATCAAGGTTTTCATAGTTTAGTGCAAGAAATATAGAGGCAAGAGGCAAGGAGGAAAATCCAACATCAAGTTCTTCTTTTCTTCTTCTTGTTTTTACGTTTTGAATGAAATTAAATATTATTGAGATGAACACTGCTATGAGTGGCTAAAGCCTATTGTTCTAGGATCATGGGTGAAACATGATTGTTGTTGTTCAGCGTTTAATTTAACAAAGTTGGTATAATCATATTGGGTTGTTTAATTAATTCTGTTCTCAATTATTTTGTTGAGTAGCTAATAGTGGAATACTATCTACGAATCTATAGTTGAACTCGAGAGTGGGAACTTTGGATTGCATATAGAATTAAATAGAGCAAGTTCTAGAACCTAGGCATCGGGGGATGGATTCGCAATTAGGATAGACATATACCTAATTGTCTTGCTTGGTTGAAATACAGGATTTATAAATGCATTCTTGTTGATTCTAACTCCATAGACATATAGGCGTTAGGTTAACTTGAATCGGGGAGTAAGAACACGACAGATTCTTATGAGCAATATTAACCCTGTCAATTAACAACCCAGATAAATCAATTAGTTATTTTAAGCCAAGAACGCAACATGGTTGTTAACTAGCCCGTGACCCTGGAATATTCTCCTCTACTGATTGTCATTCGAAATTGCTATTTGTTTGGTTGATTATATTAGTTAGTTTATTAATTGATATTTTAGGTAGTAAATTAAAGACGAATATCCTTTGTGAAAAATCTCTTGGATCGATAAGTTGATTGAGTTTAAATCAGTCAATAGTTAATCACAAGTCTTCGTGGGAACAATACTTTACTCACTACTTTATTACTTGACGATCACGTGCACTTGCGTGAGTGTTTTGTCGCAAGAAGTTTTTGGTGTTGTTGCCGGGGACTTAGAAATTAGCTACTTGACTGAGTTAGGCTTTTATTACTTATTTGTTCAAGCTTTAATTTTCAGTTTACCTTGTTTGTGTTAACACAGGCTCTTCTCTTGAATGCGGAGGAGTAGAAGCGCAAACAATCTACTTCCCCTTAATCCTGAGATTGAACAAACACTTCACAGAGTAAAGAGGGAAGTCGACGCAAGAACCAGAATTGAAAGAGAGTTGGACATAGTAGTCCAACCACAGCCAATAGAGACAGCAGGGAATGAAGAACGCGCGGTGATTGAAGCCGCAAGGCCCAGTCTTGCTAACATGACTCAGGCTATTGTGAAGCCTAATATCAATGGGCACTTTGAACTCAAACAATACATGGTGCAGTTGATCCAGTACACAGGGAAATATGTGGGTCTACATAGTGAAGACCCGCAGAGGCACATTCCGAATTTCTTGGAAATTACGGACACTTACAATTATCCGAATGTTTCCAAGGACTATGTCAGGCTGACACTTTTCCCCTTTTCACTGCTTGGGGACGCTAAGGAGTGGCTGCAAAAGGAACCCGCAAACTCAATCCGCACTTGGGATGATCTAGCACGGAAATTCTTAATCAAGTTTTTCCCCACTAAGAAAACAAAGATATTGAGGAGTCAAATTCTTGGGTTCGAACAACGAGATGGCGAGACACTTCGTCAGGCATGGGAAAGGTACAAGAAGATGCTCAGAGACTGTCCACATCATTGTCAAACTGACGAGGTATTGGGTCACCCTTTCGTGGATGGGTTAGATGATGCCTCAAAGATGAATCTTGATTCAGCTTGTGGGGGTAGTTGCATGGCCAGACCGTACAGTGAAATCCAAATCTTGCTAAATAACTTCACTGCTAATGATCATAATTGGCAAGGTGAGGGTGATTCACGAAAGGCAATTAAGCAAAAATCAGCTGGATTACTTGAGCTCGACGACTTGTCAGCCATGAGAGCCGATATTGCAAAGTTGGCCAATCAAATGACTAGGATGACAATGCAGCAACCACAAACAATGCAACATGTACAACAAATGGCTATTTGCTGCGAATTATGTGGTGACAATCATATGAGTGACATGTGCCCCACGAATCCTGAATCCATATACTATGTGGGGCAGCAGAACAGAGGCCTACCGAATCAGCATGCACAATACGGGAATTCTTACAATCCAATTTGGAAGAATCATCCCAACTTCTCATGGGGAGGAAATCAGCAGAATCAGAATCATTATAGACCCCAAGGGAATTTGAATCCACCTTAGAAGCCACCCCAACAAATGGAAGAGAGGACAAATGATTTGCTAAAGAAGTTGTTGCTTAACAATCAGCAGCTCAGAGCCGATTTCAGAAATCTTGAAAGGCAAATGGGGCAGTTGGAAACGAATCAAAACACCAGACCTGCAGGCGCTCTCCCCAGTGATACAGAAAAGAATCCTCAAGTGAATGCAGTTACACTCAGAAATGGGAAAGAGCTGGAGGAAGTGCCAAAGAAAAGAAAAGACAAGGCCACACCCGAGTGGGAGTGTCACGCCCCAAATTCGAGGGACATGACCGGCGCCCGACCGGGTAGCCCCAGTCAAGCGGACCTGGGTGCCTTTCCTAACCCACGTGTTACCCCATGTTTTCCTTACTCAATATTCAAAGAATTAGCCATATAATTAACTTAGAACACCTTTTGCAACATATATATACGTACATAATAGTTAATGAAATTACAAATTCTTTACCCAACACATGAACATAGATTTACACAAGTTCTTAACCCACATCTACTGTCCACGGAGCCTCTAAAAGTACAACAGGATAATATAGTATTTGCCGGTAACAAGGCTCCGGCTATACCTTACACAAAAAATCAAAATAAAACTCCGAAAACAAGCGGCCTGAGCCACGCAGGGCCCCGAGAGGAAAGGGGCTCACCAAAAAGCTGATGGAGGATGAAGGGGAGCTACGATCGGTGGACTGGAGTACCTGCTACGGATCCACCTACAATCATAACACGAATGTAGCGCCCCCGACAAAAGGGACGTCAGTACATTTGAATTGTACTGGTATGTATGAACAAACCTTGATCCAAGTAAACTCAAACTATCAACAAGTATGTAGCAGTAATAAGAACAACAATCAAATCAACAAAGAGGGAACAACTAAGCCGAACAAGTATACAATCTCTCCTGCTTCCTCTTCCACACTTCCACATCAATAATTTCACAATTTATAAGCAAGTATGTAATCGTAATAGAAATAACAATCAAATACACAAAGAAGGAACAATCAAGCCAAACAAGTTTACAATCTCTCCTGTTTTCCCCTTCCACATTTCCACATCAATAATTTCACAATTTGTTCATAATTTCATTTCAATAGTGATTTCGATCACTTTCCACCCTTATTACATTGGCCACCCTTATTACCTCGGCCACCCTTATCACCACAACCCACACCTTATTACTTCGTGTTGCGGCGCGCAACCCGATCCCACCGAGCAATCACAATTCACAAACAATACCACAGCAATGACAATTTGCAAGGAGAACAACAACAAGTTTCAGGAACAACAACAATAAATCCCAATAACAACGACAACACATCTCAAGGAACAACAACACAACTCACACAGGGTTTATATGACTATCAATGCCATTTCCATCTTTTTCAACAACCCGTTGTACCATTTAAATCACAACAATGATTTTCCACAACTAGCCACAAAGGATGTTACCACAGTTATCTCAACTTCACCAATCTCGATTCCTTTCCATCATTTATTCCACAGTTCTTACCACATAACACATTCGCAATAACNTTCCCTCTCATTGTCCACAAGTTTCAGATCTGAAATTTGAAATCCAAACTCCAAGTCTTCAAAAAATTCAAAAAAAAAACAGAAATGCAGTAAAATCAAAAAATACTGTTACATTGCATTTTATAGGTTAATTTCGAGTTTCAGGCAATGATCTTCATCTCTTCTAATCGCTGAGCTTTCCTGAAGTATATTGGTTCTATTTCGAGTGATTTTGAGTGCAATTAAGCTGGTTTGAGTTGAATTTCTGTCTGCTGAAAGTTTCAGAGGTGTTCTGTGTTCATTTTCGAGTTTATTTGGGTTATTTGCTGAGTGTGTGAATTTCTGGGTTCAATCTCATGCTGGTTTGAGTCATTCAAGTTGTTGATTGCTTTGTCCTGTTTGATTTCGAGCTGTTTTGGGCTACTGAATCATTTTCTGGGCTGTTATTACTCGTTTGTTGACTGCTGCTGACCTCTTTTACCTCTTATTCCTTCCTAACTTCCAGGTACACGTCCTGTAAACTCCCATGCTTATGGAACATGAAATGAAGTGAATGAATGATTCTCCATATATTCTCATATTGGATTCCATGTCGTTTAGAATGAAATATCATGTGTATTTAAATAGGACTATTTCGGACTGTACTGGACTATTAAATTGGAGCTGGAGTTTATCCATCCTAACATAGTATAGTTTGAATTCATATGATAACTATTTATTAAAATTTGAAACTGGCTTTGAAATCAGAGTGTACACCATGTCAAATTCAGACCTAATAAATGTTTTAGTAGTACAGTACTTTAGTTTTGACACCAGTAAGTTGATTTTAAAATCAGAGATTTAGCACTTCTCATATTACTGTGTCTTTGAGTTTAGGACCTTGACGTAGGTCTTAACTGCTCTGTTAATTCATTGAATCACATAGGTATTTGTAGTAGTTAGCTAGCCTAAACACAGTCTGCATATGAAATTGGATTCCAGCAACTAGTAGTTCGTTAATCTGAATAGGTTGTATATTGTCCCTTTTATAACAAAAATCAGAACATTTCGAAACAAAGTTCAGCCGCCGTAGATTTAAAGTGAAATTCCATTTGGTTTAAGGTCTGCTGATAGATTCAAGGCTCAACAGCCTGTTTTATTGGTTTGGGCCTCAGTGCCCTAACGAGAGGCCCAGGTCCAGATTTGATTTCCGTGTTCGTTTGGGCCTGGGCCCAGGCCTATGACTGACCAGCCTTCTGTGTAGACTTGGGGTGTAATTTCTATTCTTTGGGCTTATATAGGAGTGCAAATGACTGGATTATGGTGCTGAATTATCGTTCGGTCCAATAACAAATCAATTAGGATTTTTTTTCTTTAGAGACAAATAAAAATTGAAAATTGTAGATTGCTTTAGGTTTGCCTTTTAATAATAAAACGAGATGGACCTCGCTAGGCAAAACAAACAAATTGCGGGGCCCTCGATAAATGTTATACAAGAATACTTAGAATTCGGGATGGGCCGTTTAGCGAATTTCACGGCTTTCCCCAAAGATAATAACATGTTAGCTACTTTAGGCGCGTATTTTAAATAATTTTACCTTCCTAAATACGGGTGCGCATTTATGTGACCCAAATCCAAATCCCAACGAAGTCGAAATGTGTCAAAAATTGCGGGTGCATTTATGTGATGCGGTTCGAGACATGTTTTCACGACGTTGCAATTCTCTTAAAATAATAATAATAAAAGCGGTTCAAATTTAAAAAGCACATAGGTTAAAACATGTACTAAAATCAAATAAATAAGCCAAATATGACAGTTGAGCGACCGTGCTAGAACCACGGAGCCTGGGAATGCCTAACACCTTCTCCCAGGTTAACAGAATTCCTTACTCGGATTTCTGGTTCGCAGACTGTTAACAGAGTTATAATTTCCTCGGTTCGGGATTCAACCGGTGACTTGGGACACCATTAATCTCCCAAGTGGCGACTCTGAGTTCTTAATAATAAATCCCGTTCCGATTGTCCTTTAAGTGGAAAAACTCCTTTACGCCCTTGGGGGTGTAGGAAAAAGGAGGTGTGACACCCCTTCCACATTTCCACATCAATAATTTCACAATTTGTTCATAATTTCATTTCAATAGTGATTTCAATCACTTTCCACCCTTATTACCTCGGCCACCCTTATTACCTCGGCCACCCTTATCACCACAACCCACACCTTATTACTTCGTGTTGCGGCGCGCAACCCGATCCCACCGAGCAATCACAATTCATAAATAATACCACAGCAATGACAATTTACAAGGAGAACAACAATAAGTTTCAGGAACAACAAC